GGTAATACATTTATTTTACTTAGGCAGTACATGAAAATGTTGCTCAAAATATGTTTACAGTAGATGAATTCTAGCATCGCACACTGCAGTATCACAGCTTGAAACATCACATCAACCGCTCTTAAATTGTATCTGAAACTTAAGTGCGCACAGACTAAAAGAAAGCTCTATAATTATACACAGAAACAAAACTGAGAGCGAGAGAGAGAAAGAGCAGCAGAAAATGTTTCTGCAACATTTCATTAGCAAACACACAGTTTCTCTATAATTTTACTCTGTAATGAGAATAATAGACTGCGCAATTCTGTGTCCGCTACTTTTATTATTTTAAGCATTAGATGCAGAAGACAAATAGACGTGAATGTAGACCTTTTGATGGGAAAAACAGAGAGTTTCAGGTAATATTTTTGTTCCCTACCTGATGAATGCGTCATTAAATTATATAAAAAAAAGAGTGAAAACAAAAGAAAGGTGAACATGGATGCTTGTTTAATGCCATACTAGTTAACATTAAACATATTTAAAAAAGCCATTTAAGCCTATATAATTATATTTATAGGCAGCACGGTGGTTAAGTTAATCTCAGAGTAAAAAGGTCTCTGGTTCGAGTCCAGCTGGGCAAGTTGGCATTTCTGTATGGAGCTTGCATGTTCTTTCAGTGTTGGCGTGGGTCTAAAGACATGCGGTATAAGTGAATTAAAAGTTGGCTGTGGTGTATGAGTGTGTGTGCATGTGAGAGTGTATGGTAGAGCTGCACAATTATTCAAAAAAAGACCAGTCTTAATTCGACCCCCTAGATGATCTTAAACCAGCATTTCTACGGTTCTGTCAATCATATTTTCTAGTTCAGTAGTAAAGAAAAGGCGACCCCACAAGTTTTCATATTGTTTTACATACGTTGCTCAGCGACATGGACACCTCCAAATAGTGTTGAAAGTGTCACAAATGTATTTATAAGGTACAATTCAATCAAAAATGTCATTTCTGTCTTCATGTAATGATGTATTCGCGGCCACGAAATCACATGTGATGTGAGCTGCTGACCGTGAGCTGTTACCACAGAGAGGGCGGGCGCGCCCTACTCAATGATAAACGCGTGCGTCTACTTTAGAGAACAGAACCTGCATAGTCTGTGAATAACAGGTAAAAAAGTTGTAATCAACATTCAGTTTGTGGCACAGAGCGATCATCGGAAGACGCGCGGGAAGAATGAACAGCACTTAGCAGTGAAAATGAAACCGAAAGCAGAGTAATTTTAGAGTAAGGATTACGACAAGCATATTATATGTTTTTCTTTCATAGCGAACAAAGTGTTGTGCATGAGAGTAAATGTTTAACAATGTCACTACAACTACTCTAGCAAATATAATGTTTAATATAATGCAAGAGGGAATCTTATAATGACAAATGTCTGATTTTACCAGTGACTAAATGGTCTAATAATGTTCTCAACAACATATTGCAAACAAATGACTCAAACATAATAATTCAACGTCAGAAATATGAATAGTTGTATTCTGATGTCATCACTTTACTCTCCATTAATGACCAGGATAAATTTAAAGTCTATTCAAGTCCACCATTCGAATTATTAATTATTTTCGTTGTTATAATAATTATTGTTGTTGTTTTACCATATGTTTGTGAAATAGTAATAGCCTGCTCATATTAAACGTTATTTTACATCTATATATATACATATATATATATATATATATATATATATATGTCAAAGTCAGATTTATTAGCCCCCCTGAATTATTAGCCTCCTGTTTATTTTTTCCCGAATTTCTGAAGAAGATTTTTGCAACACATTTCTAAACAATAGTTTTGATAACTCATTTCTAATAACTGATCTATTTGATCTTTGCCATGATGACAGTAAATAATATTTGACTAGATATTTTTTAAGACCCTTCTATACAGCTTAAAGTGACATTTAAAGGCTTACTAAGTTAACTAGGTTAACTAGGCAGGTTTGGGTAATTAAGCAAGTTATTGTATACCGATGGTTAGTTTTATAGGCAATAAAAAAAAAATTGCTTAAAGGGGCTAATACTTTTATCCTTAAAATCCTCAAAACTTGTCAGTGTTTAATCATTATGTTTAAACTGTGCTCGCTGCATATCCCTCTTTCATTATGCAAGAACATATTGGATGAAAATTGTTAACATGTTAATCAAAACACTTTTAGAGGAGTAAACTGCAGCTTTATGTGGTGTTTGGTTGTTTATTAAAAAAATAACAAAATAATTGTTCATTAATCGTAATGCAGTTAATATGTTCAATTAATCAAGATTTAGATTTTACACCAAATCACCCAGCTCTAGGAAAGTCTTTTTTTCTTTAGTTTCATTACAAGTTTTACAAGCTATTGGTATGTAAACATAATTCTTTGAGCCTCTTTAACCTGAACAATTTATATTAATAAAATCTTTTAAACACTAGAAAATCAATGCTGTCATTGCATTTGGAGCACAGTGGTAGATCTTCATTTGACATTAAGAGCTTGAGTGTGATTCTGGAATATTATTCAGCATTATTTAGACATGATCTGATCACAGCGACTGTTAAAAGAAAAATGCATCTTTAACCCAGAATGATTCATTTAATAACATGTGTTGTTTATACAATGATCCCATTCAGTTTGCCAGTTATTTGATAATGTAAGACATTTCTGGCACTTTTACAGTCTAAAGGGAGGTGAAGAAAAACAGCCGAGGGAACGATAGAGCGTGTTTATTTTTTGCTTTGACATTTGGTTCGTCTTTTTTGCTGTAGGCTAATGCATACAAACACCAAAAAAGGGTTTTCTTTTTGTAGAACGCGAGCGAGAAAACAGTGACAAGGGAATTGTGTTTTTGTTCGAGAAAGCAAATGCTCCTGAATAATTCTGACAGTACAATGACTAAGCATATGACAGTATTAATTTTTAGTTGTTGTGATAATTTCTGAAGCTTTTATCATGAAATACGATATTATTATCACAATATTGACATGAGCTGGAACTGTTGTCATTATACTGTTACTTAAACTATATTTTTGTAAACTGCTTTCAGACTTTCCTTTTATTCAAAAGGATAATAAAGTACAATATGCAACACTTGCCAACAAGAGCTCATAAGTAAACATTGCATTAACTAGCGTAAATAGCAAGACATATCGGTCAGAATTTATTTTAGGGTACAATTATCGCTATTAATAAAGCATGAATCATGACTTTTGCATAAATAATCTCTTAATTTGCTACTTATTAATAGTTACAGTATTAGTTGGGTTTAGGAAATAGGGATGGAGAATAAGATCATTCAGAACATGCAATTTACAAGTTATAATAAACAGCCAATTAGTTAGTGAGAATTGGTACTTAAAGAGCCCCTGTTTTGCATGATAAAAGGTCATATTTTGGTTTAGGGGTTTCCAACAACATGCTGATATGCATGCAAGGTCAAAAAACATTTTCATTGTCTTATAATATGCATTTATTTTTACCTAATTATCCCAGCGACTCCCGTGTGATTCCTTCAGCGATTCATTTGTTCCCAAACCTCTTCTTAGCCTAAAGCTAATCTGCACTGATTGGACCGATGGATCAGTCTGTTGTGATTGGTCGACTGGGTTCAGCACGAGACAGAGACAAATGCCCAACACGGCTACAGTATGAAGTAGCAAAAAAGTATGTGAGAGCCCAATGCAGAATTGCAATAAAGCAATGCAGTTAAACACCAGCATATTACTCTACTTTTAAACCTAACCCTAAGAAAAATACGGTCTAAAGTCCAGCTCAGAGTGCATTAGTTATGCAACTTTGCAGTTTCAAAAGCTTAATACACACAGGACCTATAGCAATACTCAAATATCTTTACATATGAAAAAAAAGTGAAGGATTAAAATGATTATTTACTACATAAATATAGAAACCTTCTTCATTTTAGGGGGCTTTTTCAGTTCATTCAAGACAATTCACATTTTTATTATAATGTTTTTATTATTAGCAGTATTATTTATTAGATGCATATTTATATTTTATTTATTAAAAACAAGTTTAGATTTGTCCACCCGTCAGGTTATGGAGATGTATATTTATCATCATATGGGGCATAAGTATAGGATTTTTTTGACCACACTTTTTATTATTGTTTATTTATTTGTTTGCTGGAAATTAGAACTGAATTTAGACATAGTTTTTAAACAAATCTTTGCACTTAATAAATAAAAAAATTATATGTACAGGCTAATGGATGTCTTCAGATGGAGAGCCTACAACACCATTTCCTTACTCTAAGAAAGTAATGGAGTAAAGAGTTAAAGTAAAGTAAAGAGAAAGAGGCCAAATGGAGGAGGCTTGTTCTTTATCCTCGTGCTGCAGATGGTCTGTTTAACCGTTTTTACACTAGTAAAGCGTTCAGTTTTTCCACTTATAAAGTTCACCATGTAAACGGCAAATGTGCCATGGTGTGACGCAGCTAGCTCTTAAAGGGAATGGTAGATAAGTCTGATGGGAGATGAGATTGGTTTAATGCATGTTATGCTCAAAACACACCCACAACTCATTAAGAAAATAAGCCCAACCCTGTTAGACCATGTGTCGGGGTATTTTTCACACACCTTAAAATAGCAAAAGTGGATTCTGACACTTCCTCAATGCCTTTGTGCCATGTGCTTTAGACTTTGCGCTTAGATCTGTAAAATAGAGCCCTAAATGTTTGCACCTTGACATAGATTTTTAATATAATTAGCTCAGAAAAAAACATCTATTACCTGCTTAGTTTAGTATGATCATAACATAAACAATTAATCTGCTGAAAAAAATAATATTTTGCAAGTTAGTTATCTCAAAACATTATCGCAACACCAAACAACAATACTGCATGTTACCCAGTATTATGCACCTCAAATTATAAGAATATCACTCATGAATATCACTCATGCTAATAATGATATATACTATTACTGAAAATCAGCAACACAAGTCTAACTTCTGTCTTTCTGTCCACCAGGGGAGTCTCCGAGCACGAGAGTTGGGCGCAGTTGCTTATGTGGAGTGTTCATCCCGAATGTGTGTAAACAGTGTACGGGACGTCTTTCACATCACCACACTGGTGTCGGTAAGACGTGAACCTGCCCCAAGCCTGAAAAGGAGCACCTCGCGCCGCACTCTCAAACGCATATCCAATCAGCCTTTGCTGCCAGTCACCTCACAAGCCACGCCCCTCGAAGCCACACCCACCCTCAGGGAGGACAGAGCCAAGAGCTGCACCATCATGTAGTAGACCAATGCTCTACATCAGTATAAAACAGACAGATTCTCCAAACATACGAGACATTGAGGCTCATACTGAGGCCTACGGGACTGTACAGCTGTGTGAATACATTATACAGAGGAGCTCTATTTATTAACTTCAAGTTTGCTTTTATTTTTATCATTGTGGTATGACTTAGCAGACCTAAGTGTGTAAAGCAGATGCAAAGGAATAATAATAAAACAATGGTTTGGGATTTAATGTTTGGACAGCTTTGATGTTTAGTATTACAAAAACAAATTCTCATCTCTGGAGATTACGGATCTAAAACACGCTCATCCGTGTGGCACTAAATCTCTGGAATTCTGGAGTTCTGAGAATCTTTGGCCAGCTTTAGTCGCGATTAGCATCAGCGTTAGTGCCACAAAGACATCTGTGACTTCTGCTGTTCGCTCCTTTACATGTGTGACAGCACCATCAGTCATGCTCTGACTTTACAAAGACTTCATTCACACTATAGTGAAACACCAACGCAAATGCTGTCTAAAGAACAGAAGGGGTATATGAGCAACAATTTCAGTAGTTTACGGGAGAACTGAGAGATTTATTAATCTTCTAGGTTACAGACAGGGAGTGTTGTGTCATTATTTACTCATCCTCAAGTCATTCCAAACTTGTATGACTTAGCTTTTTCGATATATTTATAATTCTGTTGGGTGAACTACTTTTTTAAACTGTAGTGACAGAAGGTTCATGATGTATTGGCGTAAATGGGACAAAATACTAGTTTGATTGCAGCATTGCTGTTTAATATTTTAGCTACTTTCATTCATTCATTATCCTTCGGCTTAGTCCCTTATTTATCAGGGTTGCCACAGCGGAATGAACCGCCAACTATTCCGGCAAATGTTTTACGCAGCAGATGCCCTTCCAACTGCAACCCAGTATTGGGAAACATCCATACATTCATTCACACACTCATACACTACGACCAATTTAGTTTATTCAATTCACCTATAGCGCATGTCTTTGGACTATGAGGGAAACTGGAGGAAACCCATGCCAACATGAAAAGAACATGCAAACTTCACAAAGAAATGCCAATTGGCTGACCCGGGACTCAAACCAGCGAACTTCTTGCTGTGCGGCGACAGTGCTAACCACTGAGCCACCCCTGTTTCAGCTACTTCCAGAAATATATTCGGACAAGAAATGATTTAATAACTGGGGATGTACTGATGGGGAACGTGTCAGATGATGTGAATGACGCCAATCAAAACCCCCATGGCTAACTTCTGAAGTGGTTCAGTGAGCAGTAATTTGATTTCTTATCTGGCTAATATAATTATCTGCCCAAATATTTACTCATGTTGTTCCAAACCTCCTCACTGGCCACTTTATTAGGTACACCTTACTAGTACCGGGTTAGACCCCCTTTTGCTTTCAGAACTGCCTTAATCCTTCATGGCATAGATTCAACAATCACGCAGTTGCTGCAGATTTGTCATCTGCACATCCATGATGCAAATCTCCCATTCCACCACATCCCAAAGATGCTCTATTGGATTGAGTTCTGGTGACTGTGGAGGCCGTTTGAGTACAGTCGGAGATGATTCCCGCTTCATGAATTATGCTGCTTGAAGTAGCCATCAGAAGATGGGTACACTGTGGTCATGAAAACTGCTTGATAATAGACACTTTATACTCTATTTTTAAACAAAATTAATTTTGTGTGAACTACCAATTTCAGCTATACTGAATTTTCATTGTGCCAAAACACTATTTTGATCACAGCTAGCGGTATGTTAGCTCTGTGGTTAGCACTGTCGCCTCACAGCAAGAAGGTTGCTGGTTTGAGTGCCGGCTGGGCCAGTTGGCATTTCTGTATGGAATTTACATGTCGTCCCCCATGTTCACCTTAGTTTCCTCCAGGTGCTCCGGTTTACCCCACAATCCAAAGAGTGAACTGGGTAAACTAAATTTCCTGTAGTGTATGAACGTGTGTGTGTGAACGTGAGAGTGTATGGGTGTTTCCCAGTACTGGTTTGCGGCTCAAAGGACATCCGCTGTGTAAAACATATGCTGGAATAGTTGATGGTTCATTTCCCTGTGACTACAACTGAAAAATAAGGGACCAAGTTGAAGAAAAGATGAATGAATGAATGATTATGACTATGGTCCAGTATTTCAGCAATTTTTCAAACATGTAATAAGATAATAACATCAATGTTTATGTGCAGTTAAAAGGTTTTGAATTAATGAGAATTTTAAAAATGACATAATGTTAAGATTTTCATATTCAAAAGATCTTCGTACATGGATTACTCAATTAGCTGGATATGGTTATTGAAGATTTGACACGATCCAGATTTGTGTCAGTTTTCAGAACACATCCAAAAGTTGTTGACATAGCAACAGTTCTGGTAGCTTAAACCTGTTTGGGAGCAGGCTTTTTTCATATAAACAGGATTAGATCGGGTCTTTTCAAATTAAGGAAAATACTGAAAGTAGATACCAAATTCTGATATTACAGTAGTAGTTATATACACTTGGGAAAATAGAAATAAAAAAATACAAATTTAAAAAATATGTAAAAGTTGCAAGTTTAAAGTTTAAAAAAGTATACAAATAAAACTTATGCAAACTTCACTTCGAAACAAAAGTAGAAAGACTGTCATGGGGTGGTTCTCCCCAAGGGGTTCAAAGAGAACATATATTAATATGGAATTTTTGGATAGAAACATGTACTTTTTTAAGGTACCGACTCAGCTTTAGTACAATTTGTGTATGATAATAGACGTCCAATATTCAACAGTTTTTTTTTTTAAAGGAATAATGTTTTATGCAGTCGTGCATGTTTTTTGACGGCTAATATGACAGTGATTTGATGCTTCACAAAAGTTGCAGATGCCTTTACTAATATCAAAATGTTTTTTGATGAAAAATTTATTTAAACAGCCAGTTATTCCTTACGCAGATTACGACACTTAAATAGGCCAAGGCTACTATAATAAAGAAAATCTGCTCTGAGTGTAAAACTAAATCAATTGCTAAATACTCTCGACACATGAAATTGTAAAGCCTGCAGCCCACAGCAAAGGTGGAAAGGTGTTGCGTATCATATTTAACAAACTGTTTACTATGAATTTGATGTAATTTTGCTCACATGGATGAGTGAACATTAATCAGATGATGTCATTATGCTGCTGTGCTGTCAGCCATTTGTTGCATTGCTGATCATGGATTTGAGGATCGATAGATCAGTCCTTCACAACACACGCAGCAATCTCAGATCAGTTCATCCAGACATTTTAATCTGATTTTGAAGAACCAAAATAGCCAGAGATCAGTCAAGATTAAAATATCCAGGATCTGTCAAATCATCTTACATCATTTGAGCAAGCAAGGAAGAACGGAACCCTGATCAAAATGTGTCATTGTTTTAACAAAAACCATATCACCACATAATTGTTTTCAGCATTGATTCACTTTTTCTCATTCTAATGTATTTTGATATATATTTGAAGTTGATCAAAACCATTAATCAAACATATTAAACAACAACAATTCTGGTCTAACTTTGATCAGCTTTCATGATCCATTTCAAACGTCGACTATTGTACGCAGTAAAAAATGAAGCCTGGGTGAACAAGACTTTAAAATGCATTTGAACTGCTTTTAAACTCTCACAATGCCTCGATGCGTAGATTTCCCTTCTAAGTTCACAAAATGTAATCAAAAACAAACAACTGTTCCTAGTGGGCTTTACAAAAGTACACGGTAACAATTATAATTTAGCTTCAAAGTCATTTCACTCGTATTTAAAGTGTAAATGCCAGGAGAATGGGGAGTACTGTGTGCTTTATATGTCTCTTCCAATTTAGAATAAAACCATAATCCAACCTCAAAGAGAAGCAACTCAAGAAATCCGGCTTTGTGCAGCATTACAACGTTGTGGATGCAGCAAACAGTGGTTATTTCTGTATGCAAATTCTCAGAGAGCCAGTTAGATGCACGAAAGAGGAAAAAACCCACTAGGGCTTCATATCAGAAATATGCAGTCATTGCCAAGGCAACTGTGTACAGCCCTTTGTGACATCACAACAGAGCCGAGCATGAGGGGAATGCTGTTGCTGTGGTTTCTGAAGAAGTCCATCCATCTGAACAAACAGGGAAATATATTTAAACTGGTGTTCACACACACACACACACACACACACACACACACACACACACACACACACACACACACACACACACACACACACACACACACACACACACACACACACACACACACACACACACACACACACACACACACTGCTCATCAAAGCACAAATGAAGGACGTGCTCCAACTAATCCTGTTTGAGTTCAAATCGTATTGGGTGTTAAGCTGCATGTTTGTATGTTCTTTTTTATTGGATACTGCATATAAGCACGTTCACATACTGACTCATACTGTCACAAACACACAAACACACACACACAAACACACAGAACACACCTACAAGCATGACCACAGAATCACACCCTAAAACACGTCATGCCCTCACACAGACACGTTCATGCAAACAGACACACAAAATACATGCATGCACACACACTGTGCACACACACACACACCAAAAACACACATACAGTAAGTGCACCATGGCGCGCACACACACAACACACACACACGCAGATACACATTTTAAACACAAACACACACACATAGATACACATAAACAGGAGCACACTCATACAAAAACACATGTACACACACACAGGCACAAACTACATGCATATATGCACAAATACACACACACAGACTTGCATACAGATACACACTCTAAACAGAAAATCAAACACATGCACACACATGTGCATGTGCACACACAACCACACACACACTACACATACTGTATGCACCCACAAGCTCACACAGACAGACACACACACTGCACATACTGAACCCAGACACTAAACCCAAAAACACACTACACAAAAATGCATAGACACAAATTTCAAACAAAGCACACACACACAAACACACACACACACACACACACACACACACACACACACACACACACACACACACACACACACACAGACACAATCTAAACACAAAAAACACTGTCATGCCTGCACACAAACACACCCTACACATACACACAAGTGCACACAGACAGACACTCACACAAACTAAACAAGCACATGCATACAGACAAACTTGAAACACAAAAACGCACGCAGATTTACGCACACACACTAC